TTTTACAATTAAATTAATTAAATTATTCAAAAAAAAAATTACTTATTTCATGAATCAAACATTAGTTTTCATATTAATTGAGCATCCTAACATGAGCCAAGTAGTGGAGTTTGTGCAACTTTCATTTAAAATTATAAAGTTTATGCTCGATATGCTCTAATCTAATCAAGTGAATTATGCTAAAATCGACCGAATTTGATAGGGAGGAGCGCGGAATAAAGAAGAAAAAAAGTAGTGGGGGAGTCTGCAAAAATGCACATGCAACTGCAACATCCCAACATCCCATGTGTAGGAAGTAAGAGGGTCCATTAGTGAGGGTTTGGGGTGAGAGGGGAAGGTTTGAAGGGTCTTATAGTGAGCAATGATCTTCATCATGCCACATATCCCCGCACCCATTCCATCCTGCATTAGGGTTTAGGGTTTCTTTCATGATCAAATCTTCCACCAATTGGGCCTTTAGAAATTTGAAAGAACAATTACGACTTTTCTGTTATAAAATTTGGGCATTAAGTTTTATTACGTCATAAAAGGAAAAGTGTTAAAAAGAAAAAAGAATTTAAAGAGAAGAAAACAAGGGATCCACTGTTGTTTGGGCCCCTAATTTGGTGGTATGTCAAACGTTGTGAGTCCGAGGTAGGAGACGGGCCGACTGATGTGCAACGGCAGAGGATGTTTGGGTCTTCGGGCTGAGGGCACTGTCGGACGCTTTCTTTTACAATGTCCTCTTCGTCGTCCTTGGATGTCCCAAATTCGACAATAGATATATATATTTTTTTTTTTACTGAAATAAATCCTCATACACATTCAATTTTGTAAATGGTGGACCGATTTTGGGCATTTATGGGAAATTGACACTTCCCATTTCCGAAACCAGTAAATGCTGGGCCGATTTTGGGCCATCACGAGAACTAAAACCCCTTCATTGGTCCCGCTCCTCGCCCACATTCTTTTGAATCTCCAACCTATCTTCATCATCATCCCTTCCTTCCTGTCATTTTTAGACTACATTTCACACATTTTATTGATATAAGTTGGCACGAATAATAAGTTCATATATCTTCTGAGCATTCATGTTTTTGATTCATCTCTCGTTTATTTGGTTCACTCTTTTGATTCATCTCCCATTTTAATGATTCATCTCCCATTTTAATTTATGCATGACATTAATGCTTTTTTGCTTATCTAAATGATTGTTTAGGGTAGTTGAGAGGCGTGGAGTTTGGTTGAGTTTGAGTGTCTGTCACTTTGTCGAGAGACTTTGTAGTAGTGTGAGAGTGATATACACTTTGCCAACACTTTAATTATTGACATTGGTTGCTACCGGTAGATATAAAGAAATTTATTCTCTTTAAACCAAGTAAATCTTTGTTTAATCCATGTTTACGAGTGTGTGAATGCGATCGATCTTGCTTCTGCTTTGTTACAATATTAACTACTCTAACATGGCTACAAACAAATCACAATAAATTTTAAGGTCGAAAAAAAGTGACTTTTTTCATAGTGAAACCTTAGAACTCAACTTCTAAATGCAAAAGTAACTTTAATTATTTAAAACATGATTCATATAGTTTGATACTTTTTGGAGCGGGAAATCTTGGTTAGGAGACTTTTAATTAACTACTGTATGAAGAGTGCAAAAGAAGAGGTTTTAATTTAACAATGCTGAAGATTGTGTTTTTAATAGCTAGCTCTGAGAAAAGATGACAAAATTAGACAGAGCCGAGCAGGTAATACAAAACATTTCAAGAAAACAAATTCAAAACCACGTTCCCCTTATTATCACCATCGCTGTACAATAAAACTTGAAAAATAACGCACCCATCTGGATCTCCTCTTCTTCTTTGTCGTCGTCAGATTGGATCAGCGATATTCATGCCCGAGTCGAAGCTCCAAATCGACTTCTTCATTTTCCCAGACACCCCTGGTTTGATCAATTTGGAGGCTGAGATCGGCTCCGAGAAGCTCTTGATTGCCGACACCGGGCGATCTGATCTGGGGGTGAATAGGGAAGTTGGTGGCGGAGGTGTCAAAGTACATCCGGTAAGACGACGGCGGCTGCGGCGGCGGGGGGTAATAGGGGAAGTTGGGTTGGGTGGAAAGGGGAGGGAATAATTGGTCGTTGGAATGAGGAGAAGAAGAAGAGGAATGAGTGAAGTTGCGGTGTTTGGGTTTGGCACGGTCCTTGCGGTGGATGTTCATGTGGCCACCGAGGGCTTGAGCATTGGTGAAGCCACGCTTACAAAATGTGCACTCGTAGGGGCGTTTAGTGGGGTCATTATCGGTGGGATGATGATGATGGTGATGTTGTTGTGGCGGCGGGGGGTCATATTCGTCGCTGGAACTGTCGGAGGTCCCCTGTTTTCCAAAATCCATGCAAAATTATGAGGAGAAGAAAGAAGGGAATGGGTAAAAGGGGGAGTAGAAGGCGGAGTCTTTATACAGAGAGCAGAAAGTGGAAGGACGTACAGAGACAAACACAAAACATCTGCGTTTTCCATTGTGGCATTTATGGATGTTTGTGAGAGAGGGTTATATGGGATTCAGCTTGCGGAAGAAGGGTTTGTTTTTTTAAATAGTTCGGGAGCCGGCTGTGGAAGATAGAGAAGGGGAGAGTAAATTGGGGAAGAGATCATTAAAAATGGGAGTGAGTGGGAGATGAGTGGGGAAATAAATGAGGGATAGGGAAAAATGTGAAGGCCGGGTGGAGAAGAGGGGAACGTGGGCCAATCTGTGGGCGATGCATCCTGGGGGTTTCACCTCTGCTCGCACTCAGGGTCACGAGAGATGCCCTTTCTAAACAGCAATCAATCCTCTTCTCTCCTTCATCTTTTACATGTGATTATAATATACTCCCCATTAACCCCCCATACCATACCATATGGTATTGGAGGGAGGATGCGGCCCACAGAGAGGAGCAGTTTAAAAGAGAATGAGTTGATTCTAACTTGCCTATTATTTTAATTATGGAAAATCTCCACCTTACCACATGTCTTCTTGCGTCGCACTTTTATCACTTTTATTATTTTCCCATATCTTTTAAAACTTTTTAAAATATATTTTTCCTCCCATGTTAGACGGCCGTTTGAACTGCCAAATATATTTACAAATTTATTTTATTTTACCTAAATGTTGTTTATATATATGATGGTGTATATATATAATTTCTCAAATTACAAATAATAAATAAATTTGTACTGGAGAGGGGGTGGGCTTGTTTGAAAGAAAGATATGGCCCATTGGACTATGAAACTTATGGCCCAAAATAGACCATTTATTGGGCCTAATTGAAATGCATTTTATACTGACCGATCAACCGGTGAGTACAACAGCCCACAGATATATAGTTTCATAGATATATAGTTTTAGAAGGAAAGTAGTTTTGAAACATTTATGAAGAGTAAAAAGTAACCCCGGGTTATTTTTGAAACGAACAGAGACATAGTTCTATTTAGGGGACGGAGTTTGAAATATGTTTGTTGTAAGACATGAAATTGAGTGAGTGAGTGAGTGAATGAAGGATATTTGGAAAAGAGGGGGGGCTAAAAGGCATGGATGGTGATATATGTGTTCCTTTATGCCATGTCCTCCTAATACCCACTTTCACCAAAAATACACATTTTGGAGACTCCCACACCCACTCCCACACCTTTCCATCCCTTTTGTCCCCATGCCTCACCTCTTCTCTCATCATCTTTTCACCCATGTCTATGGACTATTATTAGGGTTTTTTTTTTTTTTTTTGGGTAAATATTGAAAGGGTTTGAATTGTATTTATGGTGATGATGGTGATGATGGTGATGATGATGATGTAAATGAAGAGGAATAATTTGTGGAAGCAGAGTGAAAGAGATGGCAGAAGGTGGTTTCTATTCCCAGTTCTGATGCATTTACTTCATTCACTTTATAAATGGGAGACGAAGATCAAACCCCAATACACAATCCAACACCTTCATTTATTGCCCTTTTGCTATTTCTACTGATTAGTTTTATTCATCATCATCATCATCACCTTCCCCTTCATCTTCACCATCATATATATAAACAACATTTTGGTATTAATTAAATGGAAAGATGAACAAAGTCAAACTCTTGAATTTTGGCTTCCAAACCCTAAACCCTAAACCCTAATGTTGAGTAATGAGGTGGGTGATGTGTAGAAGAAGAAGAAGAAGAAGAAGAAGAAGAAGAAGAAGAAGAGGTGAGTTCGTAAGAGAAAAGTGGAGAGAATTAAAATTGAAAGAGGGTGGCACAGTTAGTCTGAAATGTTTGGGACAGAGGAAAGCATTTGGATCCAAATAAGGAAAACCCATCATGGCATTTGACGCCCAGACATTGTCGGGAACATGCAAAACCAAACACAAAACCACACACCCTCTCTCACATTTCTGGGAAAAAGCATCCAATGACCCTAAAACCAATTATCATTCCTTTTGGTAACCTCTTCCTAACTTCACTTCCATGCAATCTCACACATCAATCAATCTCTTCTATCCTCTCCCCCTCCCCTCCATCCAACATCCAAGCCCACACCTATTGGATATTGTCTTTTTTGTGTTTTCCCTCTCGAGCTTCCTCTTAAGGTTTTTAAAACACGTATGACAGGTCAAAGTTCCCACACCCTTACACTGAATCTCACAATATCAAACCACTTTGATTGATTCGGTCAGAGTGATCGACCCGACCCTCCATGTATCTTTATAATAGTATGAAGTTATCCAACTTTGGTCACCAAATTTGATGGGATTTTAGGAGATTTGTTTAAGAAGTGGGAGGTAGTCAAAATATAACGTCATATCACTCCTATAACCTAAACTTGAGATGTTAAGTTGGTAGGTCAATGTATTATTGTTCAAAATCTAGATTATGAATGAAATGATAAGAAATAACATTGGGGTCACAATGGATAATAGGGCACAATAGAAGCACTTATAAAGAATGAATATGCACTGAATTTGATGATATTTGGTTAATTAAGTGTTAAGACATGATAAGGGAGGGAAGGGAAGAGGAGATTACACATTGCATAATATTATATATTGTGAGATTTTAATGAGAGTCTCACTAAATGAAGGAGGTACAGACAAGTTGATTCAGAAAAGAAATGGAATCCTTCAAATCAGACACAAAAAGATGAACCAATAAAGACATTGAAAGAGTGAAAGAAGCAAACAATAATGTGGATATTGGGAGATGGAGAAGCTGAATATATTCTAATTTCAACACAACGTAGGAGAAAAATTTGAAGAACATGTTCCCACACCACAACTTCATGTCATCTCTAAGTTGAGTACCCTAATCGGAGCTCCAAATCAATGTCCTTCTTCTTGGATTCAGTAATTAGGGTGGCAGTGTTATTGGTAGTGTTGATTTCAATGTCCAAACCAATGAATTTGTGGGGCTTGTTCCTATTAGGTTTGGCAATCTCCAAGGCTTTGAAGGGGCGATTAGGGAAAGGGTTATGGTGAAGGTTAAGGTTGAGATTTGTGAAGTGGGTATGATCAGCAGGGGGAGAGTAGAGTAAGGCTCTATCTCTACGATGGACATTCATGTGGCCGCCAAGTGCTTGAGCCGATCTGAATTCCCTTTTGCAGAAGTTGCACGTGTAACTTCTTGGTGGCCATGAAATCCCATTTATGAAATCCTCCTCTGCCGCCGCCGCCGCCCTGCACACCTTGTTTCTCTGGCTTTTCCCTGCCCCGTTGGGTCCTCCTCCTCCTCCTCCTCCTGCTGCTGCTGGTGCTCCTCCGCCGCTGATGGTGGTGTTCATTGTTGTTAAACTCGTACGACAGGCAGTGCGTAGACAGTTCCTCTCCATGGATGATGCTTGGGAGGGAGAGAAAAGTAAAAAAAAGATACCTTTTTTATGTTTTTTTTTTTCCTTCTCTCTGTCTCTATGATTACTAAAAGGAAAAGAAAAAGGGGAAATTAGGTTCGGGAAAAGAAGAGAGAGAGAGAAGAAGGAAGAGGAGGAAAAGAGAAGGCCCTGAAAATGTCCTTCATGTTTATGGTTATGAGAGGTTATTTTAGGGAACCTCGGCCTGGGCGAGTAATGGCGTTTGCCATTTATGGGACTCAGAGTTTATGATATTCTTTTATTACACCTTCTCTTAAATTAATGTAACACTGTTTCTGTGTCTCTTCTTTTTCTTTTTGTTCTTCTTCTTGGTTTCTGTGTCATTCACATCTCTCACACACTCACTCTCCACTACTTCAAACACAATTTTGTTTGTTTGAAACCCCTGGTAAAGACTTAAGAGTTACTACTACCTCATTCAATATCCATTTGGTTCAGAAATAAATATGATTTGGGCCTTATTCTATTGAGATAAAAGTAGATATGATTTGGGCCAAAAATGGTTAACATTGGTCGCCAGTGTAGAGCCCATTCAGGCGTTTGGTTAGTGCGTGGGCTATCTTATGTTTTTAAAATGGTTTAATAAGTCAAATTTGTCATTCAGGCGTTGTAAATGTCTTTTCTTTCATAGATAACAAAACATAAAACCAAAAACAACATAGATATGAAGGGCGGCTAAGAAGAGTTAAGCAGCGCCAGTATTATGGGCAGCGGAGATCTGAAGCCTAACAAATTCCAACTCCATCTCCAATTCAAAGTTCCTCTTCCGCTCATTCTCCAATTCCCTCGTCATCTTCTCCATCAATCTCCCTATCTGCTCCTCTCTGCTCATCTCTCCCCCTTTCTCTCCTTCTATCAGCTCTATCAAACTCCCCACCGCCCTCCTCTGCTCGTCCAAGCTCCTTTTCAGCGCCACCAATCCACCCATTATCGACTCCCTGTCAACACCCTCCTCCTCCTCCTCCTCCACTCCGCCTCTCCTCCCGTTCCCCGTTGGTGAACTCAGATCCGATACCCCCGAACAGCACTCACTCGAATCCCTCGAACCCTTCTCCATGATCGATTCCCCACCGAATCGGACCTGTTTCATGATCGAACATTCATCTTCCTCGCAGTTTTCCCCTGGAAAAACAGGCTCCAGCTCTAGCCCATCCTCCTTGAAATTCCACCCGCTGATCCTCCTCTGTTTTATAATTTCCTTCTCTATTTCCTCTTCATCTTCTTCCTCCGTTTTCATCGATGGCAATCGCTGCAATTTTCCCAATTTGAATCTCTCTTCAACACTCGGCAAACCTTGTAATACAGTCTTTATGAGAAGATCAGGGCCCTTGCAGTTCCTGAAAAAGGGATGTTTGAGCAATTTATCGGCGCATGGTCTTCTCGATGGCTCCTGATCAAGGCATGAGGCTACTAATTCCTTGAACCCTTTTGAAAATTTGTTCTTGTTATTGCTGCTTTGTTGATTCTCGTAATCCGAGAATCGAAACCTTCGCGTGATTTTCAGGAGGAGGGACTTGGAAGGTGGGAGATGAGAAAGGGGAGGTCGTCCGTGGGCTAATTCCAACGCCGTGATTCCAAATGACCATATATCCGCTTTCAAACTGTACCCATTGTGCGAGTGAATCACCTCCGGCGCCATCCAATATGGCGTTCCCGCGATTTCCTTCAGCATCATCGAGGTCGATGATGGAGAAATTGGCACCCCCTGTGTGGAATTGGCCTCGAAAATGGATGCCGAAACTCCGAAATCAGCTAGCTTGACGGACCCATTTGAGTCCATCAGAATGTTTCCGGCTTTAATGTCGCGGTGGAGGTGGCCTTGGTCGTGGAGGTAAGTCAGAGCGTGTAGAATTTCCCGGAGAACGACAGCGATGCAGGGCTCCGGCAAGCCGTCTGGAAACGACGACGTAATAATGGACTGTAAAGATCCGGCAGACATGAACGGCATCACGACCCAAAGGCGACGATCGACTGTGAAAGAACAGTGGGCGTTAAGAATGTTTGGATGAGAGAGAAGTGACAGAATTTTGGCTTCTCTTCGAATGTCATCGAAATCGGCTCGTGATCGATCGAGGTCAATGGCTTTGATGGCCACCACAGCAGAGTTCATGGGAATGCAAATGGCTTTGTAAACGACGGCGCTGACGCCGACCCCAATTTCATCGATGATTTTGTAACAGCTAGAATCGAGAGGGAATTGGGGCCTCTTGGATTCGTCTTGATCGTCAGGAAACTTCATGATGAGCTCGCCGGACTGAACTCGCCGGAGCGAATTTAGACGAGAAAGTTTCATGATATGGGGTGTGAATGGCACACAGTTGGAAGCGGGGTTTTAAGAAGTTATGAGTGAAGAGGAAGAGGATGAGGGAGGAGATAAGAAAAGGAAAGAAAGTGGGGATATTGAGCAGTTTTCTTGTGAAAAGGTTGGAGCGTGAAGGTGGAGTTCTTAAACATGGAGATGAGGCATGTGAAACTTCAACTATAAATTTACTTCCTTTTTTGAGAGGGAGGAGTGATTATATTTCAACTACTTCATATATATAGAGAAAAAGTTATATTTTTAGTTCAAATAAGGTCAAAATTTAAATCTTTTATAACACATTTCATTCATATCATCAAACTAGGATAAACTATAAATACATCCTAAAGTGACTTCAAATGGAAAGTAACCCTTATCAATTCACACAACCATGCCTCGCTGATCCGGAAGCTCATCAGAAGCCTGCCCAAATGTTTCCTCTCGATCTCTGAAACTTTTTTGTAACGGCCTTACCCCACCGCTAGTAGATATTGTCTTCTTTGGAATTTTCTTTTCGAGCTTCCCTTCAAAGTTTTTAAAACGCGTTGTTACGGAGAGGTTTCCACACCCTTAAAAAAAAATGATTCGTTCTCCTCCTCAATCGATGTGGGATCTCACAATCCAGCCCCGAATCTCACAATCCACCCCTTTCGAGACCCAGTGTCCTTGCTAGCACTCGTTCCTTTCTCCAATCGATGTGGGATCTCCCAATCCACCCACCTTTGGGGCTAGCGTCTTTGCTGGCACACCCCACTTCGTGTCCACCCCCTTTAAGCCTTTTCGCTGGCATATTGCCCGGTGTCTGGTTCTGATACCGTTTGTAATAGCCCAAGCCCACCGCTAGCTGATATTGTCTTCTTTAGGCTTTTCCTATTGGGTTTCCCTTCAATGTTTTTAAAGCCCGTTTACTAGAGATATTTTTCCACACCCAAAACATTTCATCTCACAACTATCTTTTAGGCAGAGAAATCAGACGCCCAAAACATTTTCAGATTAATGAACAAACATCTAATACACAAGCCCAAGCTTCTTTGGTAGTTTCTACATAAATTACACTCCTTGTTGTGGCTACATGAGGAGTTTCAAAGCCATGAAATCACCATGCCATTTCATCATTCCATGGAGGAAAACTCTCATTGGTTTTCAAAAAAAAAAAAAAAAAAAAAAAAAA